TTCTTAGACTCCGCTAAAGCTAAGTTTGTTTTTCCGACTATTTAATTTTCTTAAATTACCGCAATATTTGAATGTTTGTTTCCTAGTTTGTTTTTCATAGTTTATTTGATTCAATACGACTTAATTTTTATCATTTCTTTTGACCACGTAAATGTTTATTTAGACAATAAACATAAAATTTACAATAAAGTATGTCATACAATACAAAATAAAGCTTGTAAATTGGATCAGATAGGATCGGATTCGGATCGGGATTCCATGATCCTATAAGATCCCACTACCAGGATCAAAAGATCCTACCTATAAGGAGATTTTTACACGATCCGGATCGATTGTACTTAAATGGATCGTAAGATCGTAGGATCGTAAGATCCGGATCGGGATTCTGATAACCATGGTAGTAATAAGCCTATCAAAGCTAATAAACCATCAAAATAATTTATACATATGAACATATATTTATGTCGTGATTCATAATAATATTATCATAAATTTGTTAAAAATATTAATTTTATTACGTGCATCGCATAGATCAACCACTAGTTATAATATAATAACTGCGTGATTACATAGTCAAATTACAAGACTGATCTCATACAAATGAATGGGAGCTAAAACATGTACAAGTACTCATATGAACACAACAAACATTGTAATTTGCATCATTTGACCAAATAAACAATAATCCAAGTGTTCTTAAATGAAAAGCCATTTAGATTAAGAAGATTCACCTTCACCACAAACTTATACAATGCATCTATCAAGGAAGTGAGGAATGGGATGCTTTGGTCTTCATATGCAACAGCTTACAATTCCAACCGCTTAAGATTACAAAATTCTGGAAATATGTTGGGGATGAGGTGACTTCTCTGGGAAACCTAAAAAATGTTTGACAACACACTTATTATTGCTGCCCCAGATATGTGGGTCTTTCATGTGCATATATAATAATGAGAATAAAGGACTAAAAACAAAACTACCACACAATGGTTATGCAAACTAACCAGAGAATCCAGGTCCAGTACAAGTGTCTCCAGCTGAGAGAGCACACCTGAGAAACAGTAAAATGTTAAACAAACTAAATCCGTACAGTAACAACCCCCAATGGATACTTCAGACAGCAGGGGAACATTCTTAACAGGATTGTTGATCATGTATGGCCCATGGTATTTAAATGATATGAGATTTGTAGCCAAAATCTCAAGATTTTGTAAACTGAAACAGTACCTAAGCTCCAAGTACTTCAACTTCTGAGGACCATCTATTTTTAGATTAACCAAAGATCGTGAATGCATCAAAGACAACTCTTCAATCAACGGACAATTAGATAAGAAATGTGCAAGAACGTCTTCTGTCAAATCTACCAATTTCGAGCAGAGGGAAGTCAAGGTATTAAAGCTTAGAACACCAAATGGGCTTAATGGAAAAGTGCATGAATCCTCAAACTGAGAATAGTCAAAATATCCTCTCAGGTCGAACTCAAGCTTTTGAACTCTTTTTTCTTTCGCAAAGTTAATTCATCTATCAATGACACATGCAAAATTCTTATCCAAATCAAAGCACGCTCTAAACTTTTCTATATTTTGGCCCTGATCCAAATTGAAGACTTTGTTTACTCAACTTACATACTTAGTCCTTTCAGTTTCAAGTGACATTGTTTCTATTTCTTGTCTCATGCTGGCCTTTGTCTTGGAAGCATCAAAATTCAAACTACCCGTGAAAAACTTCCACAAATTTTTCCATTTAAGGGAAAGCACACTAGTTCTTGCTGCTTCTTTCATTGTCAAGATGGCAATGATAATTTCATTTGGCAATGCACTTAGCTGATCCTCCATGTAATTGCCCTTCTTGCAACGATAATCATTGAAAACAAAAACTAGTGACACTTTGTTCCAACATATCAAGCATTACTCTGAAAAATAAAAATAACAAAATTCAAACCCACCATGCAACACAGAGAAACAAAAGAAATATACTAAGAAACTTGAATTATACTGGGTTGACATGGGGCGGGGCAAATCGTCATATAATTTACAACTTTTGCAACATATAATTAGCTTAGCTAGTTTATTCATTCGAACTCTCCTTTGTAAGAGTGCGATGTTGTAATAACGTGTATGTCTTCCAACCCCACGTCTTTCTCCTTTTTATTTACTTGCTTATGTTGGTTAGTTTAAAAGCATCATGTTTTGTAAGCGTACTTCATGTTTGCATCCACTTGTATTGCATGCACCGAGACTCGGTTCATCATTCTAACTTGCATTGTCGTTTAAATACTTCTTTGAAAAATGTGCTTAAACCGCATGCTATCAAATTGATTAATACGCCATATTAGTAGCCGAGCCTAATAATTGCATATCGTGTGTGTTGCATTAGTCATATTGCATAGTTGGGATCATACATTATTCTAACCCTATCATCTTTTTAGTTTGGAGTACTAGGTGAGCCTTTATTCGCTTTAGCATATCGCATGTGTGTGATTGTTACCATGTTTAGCATGTTTGCCATGAAGCTAAATGCTTAATTGATAAAATTGCTTGAATGCCTGTATATGAAGGCTAATTGCTTGAAATTGGAATAATTTAAGTAATGTTCTTATGTGATCACTTTTTTAAGTGGTACATATTCAAAACTCTTTTCGAAAACAAACATGAATCGAAATGTTCCAATTCTTGCAATTTAGTTTATACGTGTGTGTTTGCGCATCAAGTAATGTTAGTCTAATAACCAGAACAAGAGTATATAATGTAGATAAGAAACACATCATGATTAGTAAAGGCCGATCTTCGATCGAGTGAGCGGGGTTACTCAATCCATGAACTTCCCCTCGCGTACCTAAGTTCCCGAGCCGAGACAATCTTAGTGATGACGGACACGTGACCTTTTGACACGAGTCATAGATTTCCTAGATTTCCCAAAAATATTTAGGTGGCGATTCTGTATCTGGCAAAGCAGTTCATTTTTGGCAATTTGATTCAAAATTGATTTTCCAAAAGATTTGCCGGATTTTGACTCTTTGGTGTTTATCTATTTCACATTTGGACTCTTTGGTGTTTATCTATTTCACATTGCACTTGTGAGATCAGATTCAGAAGCGTTGGAGTCCGATACTGTAGGGCTTATTTGTCTTCCGAGAGGGGGTACGAAAAGTCAAGCTACACCCATGGCATTTCTCTTCGATTTTGGAAATTCATGGAAGAAACCAAGTGTATGATCATGCAGTCTAAAAAATTACGCCATTCACGTCAATAATTTGCACCAATTCCTTCAATTTTGGATGTAAAACAAATCAAACCTTTGAAATGAATTATATATACATAAACATACAAGATTGAACTTTAAATCTGCAAATCCCATGAAATTTCCTTTCGATTTTGAAGACTCATGCATGAATTGAAATGTACAAGAACAAATGTTGTTCATGAAATCATGCATGCATGGTGAAGTTATAAGGTAATTAATTCAATTCTTCCATGAATAGACTTGTATGCCTTAAACTCCAAGAAATATGAACAAAACTCCTAATACTTGTGAATTGAACTCAATTAAACTTGTATATAGGAAGATGCTGAGTAGAGAGGCTTTAATTTCAAGAAATTGGAAAGAAATGTTTACCTTATTTGATGATTTATGAGAATTCAAAACAAACTTCAAGCTTCTTCTAGTTCTTCTTCTTGTTAAGTTGTAACTCTCTCTCTCTCTCTCTCTCTCTCTCTAGCAAGATATTTTTGGTCAAAAAAAAAACATGTGGCTGAGTATGAGCTCAATACATTGGCTTATAACATATATATATATAGACACTAGGATGGCTTATTACATCCAAACACCACCTAACGAATCAAATTGAATAAATTTTTAATTAAACTCCCCAAATAGTTCTAAAAATTCCAATCAACTCATCTATGTACACCATTTCGGTTTCTGAATCCATTTAGGCTGTCAATTTCAGTTGCAAGACCATAATCACACAACAGATAATTTCCCAATTTGGACAGATATGCACAAATAAATCATATAATCATTAATTAGCACATAATTCAATTAATATAATCATGACTTGCATTTTAGGGCCATTACACACTAACCAATATTTATCAAATTTTTCCATCATTTTTGCTGCCATTGTTCTAATCACTTCAATTTCACTAGAGAGCATTTGAGACAGTGTCATCCTAATCTCATATAAAGCTAGGAAACAAACATTGGCTGTGGGATACTTAGTACCAGAAAATAACTCAGTGATAGAAAAAAAAAATATCTTAAACCTCCCACTGATCTCTCTAGCAAACTCGCATTCTTCTTTACTTAGCACGGCCTTATATTGGGGCTCTCTATTTTTCAACCGAGAAAAAACATCCTTATACAATAAGGCAGTTTGAAGCATCAAGTATGTTGAATTCCACCTAGTTGCACAATCAAATCCTAATTTCTTAATATGTGGATTATGCAATTAATTGATTGTTTCTTCAAATTTTTCTTATCTTTTAGGTGTTGTTGTCCAATAAGCTAGACTTTCCCAAATTTTCTAAACATCCACTCATATGACATCCAGTCGATCTTTGACAATAAAAATATGCGCACAACAACGCATATGAAATAAAGTACCACCCAACAAAAGCGATGTATTACTCATCTATCAACATGGTAATCATGGCATCATTTGTGGAGCAATTATCAACAGTAACAGTGGATATTTTTCTGTCAATATTTCAGTCCATCATACACTCAAGCAAAGTATCCCAAAGAACTTCTTTTCTGTGTGGACATGGAACATAAATAAACCTAAAATACAATATTCATAAACAATTATTAATAACATGCAAATTGAACTGAATAACATAGAACTTTTAAATAATTTGCAAATTTACAAATATATATCTCAAAATGCAACTTTGCAATGCCCATGAATCATCAATAAAGTGTGCTGTGACAGCCACGAATCTTTTCTTTTCATTATTAACAGTCCACATATCAGTTGTGATTGCCACCCTACTTTTATTTTTCTTCACCAAATTCAATGTCTTCAGCCTCTCATAATCATAAAACTTTAAAATATCACTCTTTATTGTATTTCGAGAAGGTACTTTAAACAATGGTTAGAGTGCTATTGAATATTGTTTAAAACCAACATGATCTACGATAGAGAGAGGATATTCATGCAATATTATGGCATGTGATAACTCTTTCCTAGCAAAATCTTGACAAAAAATATAAGAATTCATTTTTGGACTCTATATTAAAGTTAGTTAAAACTTTTTACCTCATGTCCATCACTTTTTTCCTAGTACAACTCTTATAGTGATCATGCAAATGCCTAATTCTATTTTTTGAATCACCTCCAAGATGCTTCTTACAATAATTACATATATTGTCTTCCACACCCCATTGACTTGTTTCTTAAAGTGTTCCCACACTGTAACAACCCCGACCTGTGATTAACTGTTAAACCATGATTAAGAATGCTAACTGAGTAATTAAAATGGAATCTTGAGTTAATTGCATGTGTTATATGGTATTTGAGTTTCTATCCGTTTTGTGTAGAAATATTTGTCAATGTGTTTGTTCTGCTCTGCGAATTGATGGTCTTATCGACATCCGATCACGAAATTGACTTGGTTTCTATGTTATTTAAAATTTTATGATAGGTTTAATTAAAATTCGATTCGGAACGAATTAATTAAGATAATTAGTGTCAATTTGATTCGCTTAAGCCAAGTTTAATTGAGTCTTCTTAATTAAGCCTATATAAGGCATATGAGACCTCTAGAATACACTTTACACTCATTTTCATTCTTCTTGAGCTTCCAACGTGTGTGTGTGTGTGAGAGAGAGAGAGAGAGAGAGAGAGAGAGAGAGAGACCAAGAGAGATTTGAAATCATCAAGGGCAATTGAGGAAGATTTGGAAGAATTAGCTTGGAACCTCAACCAATTAGCCACCTAGAGCATAATTGAGCATCTAAGGTAAGAATTCAACCCTTTAGCTATGTAATTGAGCCAACAAATGCATAGATTCAAGGGGTCTAAGTGTTCAAACATGAGAATTGAGCTAAAAATAAAGGAATTTAAGTCATATCATACATGCATGCATAATTCATGAATTTTGAGTTTTCATTTCAACAAATTCTTACATGCAAGGACCTATTTTTGTTCAATTATGGTAGCTCATTGTGGTTTTGCATCTTAACACTTCATTTGTACATGTTTTGGAAGATTTGAGTTCATGACAACACATCCATGAGGTGTATTCAAGTTTGGTTTTAAAGAATTTATTTGCTTTTAGGCCTTGATTTTGTATAATGATCTTTAATTCATGATGTTTAATAAGTTTACAAGTGTTTTCTCAAGTTTTGGGGCCCAAAGGTTGTGTTTTAAGGCTTTGAATTCGAGTTTTGAAGCTTGGGAGCAAATCTGGAAATTCCAAAATTCTACTTCTCCGCTCGAGCGACAGAACCTGTGCTCGAGCAACCACTCTTTGATTTGCACTTCCGATCGAGCGACCAAAAGTTGGCTCGAGCATAAAATGCACACTCCTAGAAGTTTACACATTTTACAGACAGCTCGAGCGACCAAAGTTGCGCTCGAGCAAAGATCTCAGTCTCACACTCGAGCGACCGTCGGGTGGCCATCGAGCTGAAAATTCACACGAGTATTTTTGCAGAAGTTTACAGGCCGCTCGAGCGACCGAAGTTGCTCTCGAGTGACCACCCTCATATGTGAACCTCCACTGGAGCGAAAGAAGCTACGCTCGAGCGAGGACTCTGTTTTTAACAAATTTGACTAAGTGTTGAACAGCATGTTTTGGCATCTTCATTGCATCCTAGGCATTTTGAGGCCATGATGAAGCCATAATAATAAAGATAAGGACTAGAAATACACTAAGAACGAAATGAAATAAGTACTATCCAAGTGTGTTTCAACATGTGTATCTATTATCTGTTATATTTATCAAAAATATGTATATATGCGTGTAGATCACGCACCGTAGGCTACCTGGTTTTCTGCTTTGTTAATCTGCTTTATCTACTCTATCTGTCTGTTATTGGAGCCAACTGTGAGTAATAACTTAGTAAAGGTATGTTCAACTCTATTCATTTTCTGTATGATACAATAAGATCTATTTTATGAAATTTTATATTCTATACAATAAATAATTGTCCAATTTCTGACAAATATTTGTGGCATCGTTAGCACATGGCCCTTGCCCAAGAATAATAATAGCGTGGTCTATGAGCACAAGGCCCTTATCCGGGGGTAATAATACCGTGGTCTCATGGCCCTCGCCCCATGGTAACAATATAGTGGCTTAAGTATGTTATCTGTTCCTAGTACCGGAGGTTCCTTTATGGAACTGGTCAAGTATGACCTTTAATGCACTGTATCTGATCTGTTAGCGCTAACGGGTTTACCACGTATGACCCTTTGTGAAATTGAACAAGTACATGCTTCTGAACTCTGATTCAGAATATGAATTTGTTTCTGCTTTCTGAAATTGATATGGGACATCATTAATTTAACCATTTACTCTGTTATTATTCATTGGGCTTTCGCTCACTATTTATATTATGTATGTAGTTGACCAGGCCTAGAGTTGATGGCCTAGAGTTCCGTTTGTCAGCCAACCACAGGTTCCCGATTGTAGAAGTCAAATTTTGTGGATCATGTTAAGGGCTTTTGCTTTTGTTTTCGTTTATCCGTACACTAGGCTAAGTTCCTTTTGTTACTAATCTGTATGGTGATGCATGACTTAGATAATTTTGATGTCATATGTATATATTGAAGTTTTAAATTTTTTTTGTCCCATGTTTGTCAGCACAGCTCAATGGACTATATATGTTTTATATTTGCTTCTGCAGCCCTTTATTTTGTGATGATCTGTTCAGAAACCTTTGGTAATCCCAGGATTATTGGCCGATTACGACACTAAACCTACAGGGGTGGGTTTCAGTCGTGACACACACAACACTAGGTTTTCTTTTAGTTCCTCCACAAGTATTAGGCTCTTCTTCTAAATCAATAACATTTTGATTAGAGAGGGGAGACGGTTAGTTGGTAGGTGAGTTGGTAGCTGGTGATGATTGTTGTGACGCCTCGCTCTCAAATGATACTTGAGAGTTAACTAGTACTTGAGAGTTAACATCTGACATTTTTAATCTTCATAAAAATAATATGAAATGAATAAACAGAGGTAGCAAAATTACAGAGCAATTTTTTCTAACACAATTCTAGAAAGATATGTAGCAATTTTTTTAGCAATATCAGCATATGCAGCAATTCTAGTAATGTTAACAAACTATATTGAATTAATAAATGATTATCCTAGTAATAAATGATCCTCCTAGTAATGTTAACAAACAAACAAATAAAAAAATGGATTGAATTAATCATATTATACAATCTGAAAACATATGCAGCAATTCATTCAGTCAAAACACAATAAACTAATGGCTATGGAAATGATGTGATCAATCTCATGACAGCCCATTATACAAAGATAACATATCTTTAAAATGCAAAGACCATCCAACATTCCAAGTGATATAGAATGAAACTAAGTAGAAAATAATTAAAAGCAACAGGAAAATAATAGGCCAAAACCCCTAACTTAAACACTAAGCACATCCAAATATCCTAATGAAATACCTCAGAAAGTAGAGCAACAACAACAGCAGATATGCAAGGAATATCTTCAGCAAGTTGGAAGATAACACGACCTGTGAAAACTTGAAGATCCTTCAACTACAACCAATACAATAATGATATTTTCAATCATTTTCCTCCGGTATATTATAATTAGAAAATTAAAATAAATGAAAATTAGAGTGAGGAATAGTACATATATATATATACACTAGTGAGGAGGCTGCATGTAAAGTAATATTGAGTTGTGTCCAGCACATTGTAATAATACCATCAAGGAGCTTGGACCGAGTACTTAATTATAATAAAACAAACAATTCTATTACATAGAATTTCATATTTTGTTCATTTAAACTCTTTAATTTGGAAGGTAACACAGAATTGGAATGGCTGAAAAGCTGTTTTTGACTTGAGAACCTTGTTTTCTCCTCATTGATAATAAAAATGCATTCACAGTATATTCAGCACAGTTTGGAGAATCATTTAGCTGAGCCAAATCCACAACACTGAAAAAGTAAGATCTTTTTTATTGACTTATATGAAAAAAAGAAGCATAATGCATCGGATCTCCATGACACAGACATCATAAAATCAATTTTAGTTGAAGAAACAATAGTGTAATACATCAAGGTTCTCCATACCCCTGTAAGAAGTGGGTCAAATCTTAAAGAACATAGATACACCAAAGTTATAACTCCCCATTATCTTCTTCGATTAGCAGCAAAAAATAAAAAAATCACATTCCCAAATCAAACAATAAACTTCAGCAGAAAATCAATTTCGCATAATTATTGTACAGCACATAAGAAGAATTTAAGAAACCCTAACTCTGTATAGTGAGAGCCCAACAAACTTCTATATAAAATACCAAAATTAATTTGCATGAGACTAAGTTGTAAGTTAGATTAAAAAAATGTCAAGGATAAAAAACAAAGAACAAAAGAAGAGAGGGAAAAATCCAGTCAGTGTATATTTGGCTGGAAAAGGGGGGGAAAAAATTAGGGCTACACAATTTTAAGAAAAATATTCAATGAAATAAATAATTTAACAACACAAAGAACAAGAGAAAAAGTAACAAAAAAATTGACAACATGATATATATGTCTATATGTATGTATGTATGTAAACCCTAAATGCAGTGTCAGAAAAATCAACTGGTTTTCGACCAGCGAAGCACGAGTTGACCCAAAACCCTAGATCGAAACCAAAATCGTTGAAAATAGATGACGGAGAGGGAGTGAAAAGGCAGTGATTTTTGGATTAATAGATCAAAATTGAAAGAAGAAAACAGAGATCGATTAGTAGTTTAACGAGAGAGAGAGAGAGAGAGAGAGAGAGAGTACACTTTGAATCGGCGGTGAGGGAGGAACGAGCGAGCGGTGAGGGTGAGGAAGACGGAGAGAGGCGATGGCTGTGTGAGGGAGCAGCAACTGACGGTCGTGTGTGTGTGAGGCGAGCGGTGAGGGAGCAGCAGCCGATGGCTGTGTACGAGCAGAGCACCGAGAGAGGCGATGTGTTTGTGTGTGTCAACCAAACCTAGAATGAGTAAAATAGACACACACATATATATAGACAGACATGCGTATAATAGTAATTTTACTTGGGGGAAACGGGGCAGGGGTAGGGGCCGGGACGGGATTGGGATACCAATCACCGTACCCGGTTCAAAAATCATCGGTATTTATTTTTGAATATCATTTTTATTCATTGGAAGAAATTTTTTGGGAAAAAATAGATTTACTAGAGGTCGGGGGCAGGGTCCCGTTAGGTTGGGTTCAAATTGTCATCTCTAAACATAACGGGTGGAGGAATCAATGGGTCATCCTTGGGGTAGGTCGATTGTAACTCTAATTCATGGGTCTAGAGGGGTTTCAAATTCAGTATGTTTGCCTTAGAGTTTGGGATATTTTTAGCGTCGGAGGTTTAGTTGATTATGGCAAAAGCAGCAGCGAAGATTAAAGGCACCCACTAGCACCAGTGTACAGTTGGTCAGAGCAAAAAATCGGATGAATATTTTTGTTCGGCACAGACAGATTCTGTGTGAGTGATTTTCTGACCACACTGTCCGCTTAGTATCCAGCTAGAGACAACCGGCAGAATAGATGGCACCTAGCTGACCTACAACAGAAAGAGAAGATTCCGGCGGTGGTTCGTCCACCCGGGGGCACTCCGACGATCAAGTCAGTATATCTCTCAAAAATAAATCAAGTGCTAAACTCAATGCTCAAAGCATAAAATCGCGTACCTTAGACCCACGGGGGGTGCCTCTCTTTTATAGTTACCTCAATCCTAATCTCAATAGAAGCCTGACTTTTATGGATTCTTGTTCAGTACTTAATTTGGACTCTTTCAGAGATAAAGATAAACTCCCTAAGAGTTTTATCCTTATCTTGGCTAAGTCTCCTCTTTATTCTAGGACTCTTGTCCCTTATCCGCTTTTCTCGGACTCCGATATCTTCGGAGATAACCTCGGCTTTAACCGAGATCACCTCAGCGTCATGACTCTGACACGTGGCACCTCGGCTGACACGTCGGTGTCACCTTGCCACGTGTCGGTACTCAAAAATATATCCCCACAACTGCCCCCTAAGTTCTATTACCTCAGCATTCTGAGGTAATGGAACCTCTATCTGTGCTTCCTTTCAGTTCGTCGGCTTAACGGCTTCTAGCCGAGATCATCATTTAAAGACTGACATGCCTTCTTTAAAGATCAAGACTTCTAAGTACCTTCTTTGTTTGTGAGCTGTCGTGCACAAACAACTCAACTGTTTCAGCCACGCGTCTTCTTCTTACTGGATCGTACTCCGGACGCGCCTGTAGATTGTTTTTGCGCCTGTATGCACCGTCTGACGGTTTCGTTTTTCTAGAGTCATTGATTTCCTTTTTGCCGCTGTTTCAAGTTTAATCAAAACTTTTTCTTTCCCCCCTCTTTTCACTTTAATCTTTCTCGTCTGAAGCTTTTTCTCTCTCGTTCTTACTTTACCCTTCGAAATCCTCCATTGCTCAAGCTTCCAAAGCTCTGCAACCACTGTCGTTCGTTTTCTTCGACTAAGTTCGTGCTGATTCTCCCGTCCGCCGCCGTCGTCTGACCTCGGAAATATTCAACACCGGCTTCGTTCTTCCTCTAGTAATACACTTATTCCTTCTTATTCCAGTTTCTTAATTTTTTCTTGAACTTGTTGCCATTACTGCTTTGCTTAAACATTCAACCTGTGAATCATATATTTTGAGTATGTGATTTTGCCCTTGTCCATATCTTGAACATACGCATTGTTGCACCACTTCCCTTTATTTTTGCCACTGTTCTTGGCCCTATACTTCGTGTATTCTTTATGCTCTTGATAGACCATCTCTGTTCTTGATTCTGAAACTCGTTTTTGTTTCTGTTTTTTTTTATGTCTTTTCCAGATTCGTGCCTTCAGTCTTTGATTCCATAAACTTAGGTTTTGGGATTTGTCTATAGAACCCATAATTTAGGAAAAACTTAAACGAACTTCCTCTAGATCCATACAAACCTTTATCAAAGTGTACTTTTAGGTTTTTAACCGAGGTCCTTTAAACCTTCCAAAAATACTTCTTCCTGAAATCTGATATCTCCATTTAAGCCGACATCATGGGCATGTGGAAACATAGAGTAAACACCCCATCTAAACTAGAATTCTTTAGACAAGAGTTTGAAATCCCAGCCGATGTCCATCTAAGGTTGGCTGGGGATGATGACTCCATCATGCCTACTGATCATTCCATGCCCTTCCCTGTGGTAGCCTTCATTGAGTGTGGACTTCGACTCCCACTCAACATCCTTTTTCGTGAAATACTTCATTCTTATAAGTTGAATCCAATGCAACTTTCCATCAACTCCTATCGAACCATTAATGGTATCATAGCCTTAGCAAAACAAAAGAACGCTAGGATCACATTAGCCGATATCCAGTATTACTACACTATGTGTGGCCTCAAAAAAGACACCGGCTACGTTTACTACCTCAAGCCGAGGTCCACTAAATACAAAATTGTTGCCGACCTCCCTGACTCCAACAAAGGAGCTGGGGATGATTATTTCATTACTTCGGGGAACTGGGAGTTCGCCCCAGATGAAGACCTCCATTTCTTCCCTCTCCTTCGATCAGTCTTTGTAGAGGGCAATGGTAAGAGCCTGCATTCATACCTACTTGTTTTTTAAAGTCTTGCGTATTTTATCTATTTCTTAGTGTTTGCTTTTCTTGCAGCTGTTCCTAAGCCACCAAAGAACTTTCGTCAATCCTTCGTTCCCAGCAAGGATTTGAAGAGACTCTTGGACCTGCCAGTTCATAAACAAATGGCGCCTCTGCTTCTCAATTTTATTCCAAGGTACAAGTCAGCTTTGCCCAACGTTCCTAGAAGGAAGAAGAAAAGCCTTTCTCCACCTACTGCCACAACGCCACAAACCGCATCCACATCTCGGACAGACCAAGGGTCAACCTCTGATCCAGCCGAGCAACCGTCAACTTCAGCTCCATACTTGATTCCAATATCCCAATGCCGCCGTCGACGCCGATCAGTTTCTACTGCCGAGATGGTTCGCCCTAAACCTATTGCAAAAGATCTCTTGGCCAGCATCCCTTCTGATGTTGATGCACAATCAACACAAACCCTGCCTCCACCTAAGCCGAAAAGAATAAAGAAGGCTCAACCAAAGGCTAAGGTAACTCAGGTTAAGTCTAAAGATGCTCTGCCAATCTCTAACTTGGCTGAGAGTGACAAATCTCAACCTTCTGCTGGGAAGAGGCGCTCCGAAGCCCAACCATCTGAATCGCCCAAATCAAAAAAGCCAAGGTCATCTTCTGCAACGACCTCAGGGTCTAAGAATCCTGTTGCCCCCTAGGCCCCCGAAATTACCTTGGAGGATAAGCCAGTCATGGCAAATGATAGTACCGAGGACATTAATGTCGGCGTTGCGCTCAGTACTGCTCTGTTGCTACCAGGCGATCTGGAGTGAAACGCAAGTTGAGCGAATACAAAAACTATGCGTTGATGCTTCAACGCTCTGTTCAAGTAAGTGTCTTTCATCTGGCACTTTTTTTTTCTTTCTTTTTTATACTTAGAAATTTTTGCAATAACTTTTTCTTTGTGTTTTCTTCAGGCCATCCAGCATGCCCACTCTTTTTCTGTTCAATCTTTCGAAAATCGGCAGAAGCTAGTCGATATGAAGAGGGAGTTCTCTTATCTTCAAAAAACCAACAAGAATTTGCAGTCAAAGATGAAAAAGTTGGAGAACCAAGTCGAGGCTGCAATCAAAGCCCAAACTGAAGCCGAAGAGAAGGCTGAATCTTCCGAAGCTATTAGAAAGGTTGCTGAGTCCCAAAGAAAAGAGGCTGAAGAGAAGATGGTCCAAGCCGAAAAAGAGCTTCGAGAAGCCTTGGCCACCAAAGAGGCTGAAATCAAAGACGCCGATGAAAAGGCGTACGCCTAGGGCATGGCCGATGTTACTGAGGCTTATGAAAAACAGGTGAATGAGGCATGCAACAAGGGTTTCACCCTTGGTTGGATGTCCCTTCTAAAAAAGCTCAACGTTCCTGAGGACTCACCCTTGAGAAAAGCCGACGCCATTCCTCTTCCATTCCCTCTTTCTCCACCTCTAAGTCAAGACGTCGGCGAATCTAAGTCTGAGGATGGTGATGAGGATGAGGATAAGGATAAGGATGAGGCCTTGGTAAGAAAATCCAAGGATACTGATGGGGCCCAGTCCCCTCTTCAGAAGGAGCAAGTCCTAGACTTGACTCAAGATGAAGAAGGTAATGAGGTTCCCAAAGACGCTGCTTATGAGAAGGTATCAGCCGACGTCCCCTTCGTCGACAAGAGTATTGAAGAAACTTTGCAAGGAATTGATGCTGAGCTAATGGCGGAGAAGGTGGCCGAGGTTGCTTCTCAACAATCGTCCGAGGTCCCAGCCCAGCTCACTGTCGACGCTGAAGAACCTTAGTTTTCATATCTTTTCTTTTGTACTTTGTTTTTCTTTGTTTTTTGAAACAATGTAAGCTCTCCATGTGGCCAATGTTCCTCATTTTTGTTGAATGCTGATACAACTTTCCTTTACTGATTGCTTGTACTTTTGTCTTTTCTTGACTTCTCTGGCGTGATTCTATACTTAGAATATTCTGCATGTCTTTCACGTACTCTTCCTTCGTTGTACAATCTTCTCGGGGTGACACACCTCGGATAGACAAACTTCTTGGTTTTAATCTTAACTTGTAAACTTTTAACAAGTGTTGAACATCATACTAGTTTAACTCAACTTGTAAATTGTCCACAAATTTCAACAAGTGTTAAACAATGACTTCGGCTTAACTTCAACTTGTAAATTGTCCACAAATTTCAACAAGCGTTAAACAAATGATTTCGGTTTAATTTAACTTGTAAATTGTCCACAAATTTCAACAAGTGTTAAACAAATGATTTCGGTTTAACTTAACTTGTAAATTGTCCACAAATTTCAACAAGTGTTAAATAATGACTTCGGTTTAACTTAACTTGTAAATTGTCCACAAATTTCAACAAGTGTCAAACAAATGACTTCGGTTTAACTTAACTTGTAAATTGTCCACAAATTTCAACAAGTGTCAAACAAATGATTTCGGTTTAACTTAACTTGTAAATTGTCCACAAATTTCAACAAGTGTTAAACAAATGATTTCGGTTTAACTTAACTTGTAAATTGTCCACAAATTTCAATAAGTGTTAAACAATGATTTCGGTTTAACTTAACTTGTAAATTGTCCACAAATTTCAACAAGTGTTAAACATATTCTTCTTCCCTCTGCTCTTTAATGTGAACTTGAGTTCCACTTGGGTTCTCATTATGTATGTATTCTAGAGACAATGTCAAGTATTTTGAAAACAGAACTAAATCTTTATTTATTTACTTCGGCAAATGGCAAAGGAACAAAGAAATTCTAATGATAGAAAAATTTCAAATTATACGTGTTCCAAGGTCTTGGCAACTTTTTGCCCTCATTATCTTCAAGCCGATATGCCCCATTACCCAGTACCGAGATGATTCTGTAGGGTCCTTCCCAATTTGGGCCAAGCTTGCCCTCTCTGGGATCCTTCTTATTGCTAACGACTTTCCTCAGGACTAGGTCGCCGACTTGAAACTCTCTTGGATTGACCTTCTTGTTATAAGCTTTTACAAGTTGCTGCTGGTATGCTGCAAGCTGGATTGCAGCTTTCTCTCTTCTTTCTTCTAGAAGATCCAGATCTCGGGTTAAGAGTACATCATTAGTCCTGTTTTCTACTCCCTGGGTTCTGATTCCTGGGATACTGATCTCCAGCGGAATGACTGCTTCTGTGCCATAAGCCATAGCGAAGGGGGATTCTCCTGTTGATCTTCTCGGCGTAGTCCGATATGCCCAGAGTACATTGGGCAATTTGTCAACCCACTTGCCTTTTGCTGCTTGCAGCCTCTTCTTTATTCCATCCAAAATTACTTTGTTGGATGCTTCTGCTTGTCCATTGCTTTGTGGAAAGCTTGGGATCGAAAAGTAGTTCTTGATCTTGAACTTTGCACAGAAGTTCTTGATTAGCTTGCTGTCAAATTGAGTTCCATTGTCTGCAACAATTGCTCTCGGAATCCCAAATCTGGTGATGATGTTCCTCCATATGAAGTTCTTGACATCCATATCTCGGATCTTGGCAAGAGGTTCTGCTTCTATCCATTTTGTGAAGTAATCTGTTGCTACTAGCAAGTATTTTCTTTGTCCAGTTGCTTGGGGTAATTGCCCAACGAGATCCATGCCCCATTAGGCAAATGGCCAAGGACTGGATACAGGGTTCAGGTCAGCAGCTAGCTGGTGTATCAAAGGTACAAACCGTTGGCATTGTTCACACTTCTTCATGTAGGCTTCTGCATCCTTTTGCATGTAAGGCCACCAATACCCCTAGGTAATGGTCCTATGAGCTAACGATCTGCCCCCAGCGTGGCTTCCACAAATTCCTTCATGGATTTCGTATAAAAAATCTTCAACCTGCAAAGGGTGTACGCACCTTAAAAGGGGTCCAGTGAAGGATCTTCTGTAGAGGTGTCCCTCTACTGTTAGACTGAATTTTGCCGACTTTAATCTGATCTTGTGTGCCTCCTTGCGGTCGTCTGGCAGCTTTCCTTCTTTTAGGAACGCAACAATTGCGTCCATCCAGCTTGGTCCCATGTCTACGCACATTGCTTCATGCTCTGTGGTTGCTGGTTCAATGCTCGGGCCAGACAGGTAGTCAATCATTATTGTCCTTGCTTTTCCAGGTTGTACTGCACTAGCTAAGTTAGCCAACGCATCAGCGTGGCTGTTATCATCTCGGCTTACCTAAAGTAGTCGGCAGTTCTAAAACAAGGCTGACAGTCTGATGACTTCCTTTGCGTAGGCCAACATTCATTCATCTCAGGCTGCAAACTCGCCTGTTGTCTGGTTAACTATCAGTTGTGAATCACAAAAAACTATTACCTCATCTGCTTGCACTATTACTGCCAACTTCAGTCTTGCAATGAGTGCTTCATACTCTGCTTCATTGTTTGAGGCCTTGAACCCTAAACGAATTGATTGTTCTAGTACCTACCCATCTGGGGATATCAATACTACTCCTGCCCCCGCTCTTTGTTGGTTTGAACTCCCATCAACGAACAGTCGAAAGGAGTCGCCGATGTAAATGCTGCAAGGTCTGAGTTTTTCTTCTTTCTTTTGTTCTTTTGCCTTTGCCTGGGCTTCTTCTTGCTTGGTTGGATATCGCTCATCTTAGCTCAACGGAGCCCGATGTTCAATGGATTCTGGTGTGAACTCGGCCACGAAGTCAGCCAGAACCTGGCCTTTGATTGTTGTTCTTGGCCTGTACTCCAGGTCATGCTGGCCTAGGGTGACTGCCCACCTGGCTATTCTTCCTATCAGGTCTCCTTGTTGCAGTAAGGACTTCAAGGGGTGCCCTGTTAGCACCACAATTTTATGGGCCTGGAAGTAATGGTTCAACTTCTTTGAAGCCATTACTAAAGCTAGTGCCAATTTCTCTAAGGGTAGATACCTCGTTTCTGCATCAGCCAGGGTTTTGCTTACATAGTAAACAGCCCTTTACTCCCCTTTTTCTTCTCAGATTAGTACTGCACTTATCGCATGTTCTGAAACGGCTAAGTACAGAAACAGCTCCTCCCCAAGTTCTGGGTTTGAAAGAACTGGAGCTGTGGTCAAGTACTTCTTCAGGTCGGCCAAAGTGGCTTCGCATTCTTCTGTCCATAGGAAGTCTGTGGCTTTCTTCACCAAGTTGAAGAAAGGTCTGCACTTATCTGAGCTTCTACTGATGAATCTGTTTAGGGCTGCAGCCCTTCCAGTTAGCATTTGCACCTGTTTTGCCGACGTCGGGCTCTTCAGCTCTAGGATGGCCTTGATTTGATCTGGGCTGGCCTCGATGCCCCTTCTAGTTACCAGGTATCCTAAAAACTTACCAGATTCAACTCCAAATGCACACTTCGATGCATTGAGTCGGAGCCGATATGTTTTAAGAATTTTAAAGACTGTTTTTAGATCGGCAAGATGACCCTCAGGCTCCTTGGTCTTAACGACCATGTCGTCAATGTAGACTTCTACTGTTCGGCCAATCAGGTATTTGAACATTTTGGTTACCAGCCTTTGGTAAGTTGCTCTGCCATTTTTCAACTCGAAAGGCATTACTCTATAACAGTACAAGCCTTTTGGAGTGATGAACGCGGTCTTCTCTTCGTCTGGGGGGTACATAGCTATCTGGTGGTACCCCCTGTAGGCGTCTAGGAAGCTCATTCTTCCATGCCTTGAAGTGGCATCTACTAGCTGGTCAATCTTGGGTAGAGGAAAGTTGTCTTTGGGACAAGCTTTGTTGAGGCTGGTAAAATCTACGCAGACCCTCCATTTACCGTTCTTCTTTTTTACCACCACTGTATTGGATAGCCATGTCGGGTAGTGTACTTCTCTAATGGCCCTGGCCTCCAGAAGTCTGTCAACTTCTTCCTCTACTGCTTCGACGTGCATCAACGTCGGTCTTCTGGCTCTCTGAATTACAGGTTTGGCCGACCTGTCAACATTCAGTCTGTGGCAAGTGACCTCGGGGTTAATGCCAGGCATTTCGTAAGGTGTCCAAGCGAGCACCTCAATATTTGCTCTCAAAAAAGTTTCCAACTCTTTTTCCTCTTCTTCAGCTAAGCCCGAGCTGAGAAGAAAGAAGCGTTCTTCATCCCCATCCTAGGCGCGAATTTTCTTTAGTGCCTCTTCGCTCTTCTCGGCTGGCTCCTTGCTGACGTTTTCTAGGACTTCCACGTCCTCATTTTCAATTTCTGCCTTTTCTGACTCTCGTATGCTGTAGGTAGATTTCATTGCTGCCATGAAGCAATTCTTCGCCTGTAGCTGGTCGCCTCTGACTTCCTTTATCCCATGCTCTGTTGGGAATCGTAATAGTTGATGCAATGTTGAGGGAACTGCCCCCATTGCATGCAACCATGGTCTTCCTAAGATGATGTTGTAAGGAGAGTGTGTGTCGATGATGGTGAATTCTGTCTTGATCTTCCTGGTGCCTGCCTGCACCTCCAAGCTTATTGTTCCCAGTGGCCATGTCGGAGTTCCATTGAACCCAACCATTGGGCCATTGGATTGTTCCATATCATCTAGGTAAAGGCCGAGCTCCTTGTAACATCGGACGTATATGATGTCACAAGAGCTGCCTTGGTCAATCAGGATGCGCTTCACTTGGCACTCCCCAACCTGGAGGGATACTACCAAGGCATCATTAAGCAGATGTTGGACCATCTCTAGGTCGGCTTTAGTAAAGGTTATCATTGGTCCCTAGCACTCTTCTGCTCGATGTCTTTTCTCCCCGACTTGGTAGACATGTTGCAAGTGCTTCACTTTCTGGGTCTCTCCTCGGATTTCATTTTCGTTGACCTTCGAGTGGATTACGTTGATTACCCGAGGTCCTCCTGCC